CAGGACGCCGAAGAGACCATCAAGAACGTCGCTAAGGAGCTTGACAACCTCGATTTCGGGAACGAAGATCAGATGCTTTAGTAACATCGGGATATCCTCCTTGGGAGCCTCTTTCCATTTGAGCAGGCCCAAGACGATGCGATCCTGGGAAAATCGTGTGCTGCATAGGTATGTGTCGACTCGAAGGAGCGCAAGAGGACCGGTTACCTCGGAAGAGTGTTCGTCGTTTCCTCTAGCACTCCATTGCAGTGATAGATAACCCCCTTTGCCGGTCGGGCCAGCTTGAGCCGTCGAGGTAAATTCATCCGTCTTGTATAACAGCAGGGCATGTGCTCCGTCTCGGACAAAAGCTTCTTGGTTCCACAGTGGCATGTGGGCAACCGCGAACGGCGCATTCGGCATGTCGGATAGAAACATGACTATGTGCGAAGTGAAGACATCTTCTGGTGGAACAGCAAGTCGGACAGTCTGACTCCAGTGCTCCCCCCTCTCAACAGCCACAGACTTCCACGTGGTGATTCCTTCGGTGTTGGACGAAGAAAAGATGCAGTTCGGAATCTTCTCCCCGCCTGTTCTCCGTACCTCAAGTGTAACCTGTAGGTTATTCCCATGAACACTCCCAGAGAGTATGGCGGGGTTGCCTGCATATCTGGACAACAGATTTTGCTTGGAGAGCGCAGCAGTATCGAGAGTAACGTAAATGTCCGATCTAGCTTTTGTAGGCGCGCCAGAGAAGCCCATCTTGTTTGTTTTGCGAATGCCAGCCAACAAGGTTGGCGTCATCTTGACCAGCGCATCCACATCCGGGTGATTGAAGGACTTGAGATGCACCTGTACGCGCTCGGTTCGGCGCGACTTTTCGTAATGCCCACTCTTGCTGTCCATGAGGTCTCGGATAAGGGTATCCCACTCCTCGTGGAGACCCTGCTTCTCTGTCGGTAATGTTGGTGATGGCGACCAAATGCTCACGACCTGTTCCACATCTTCGTCCTGCTTCATGACCGCATTGAGTTTCAGAACACCAATTCCCACCGTCCGTTCGGCCATGTGGAAACCTGAGCCGCCGTCGAATGAGCCGCGCTGTCTGGAACCGGCAGTGCTGGGAGGTGCGGCACTGTCTTGGCTCTCGTCCTGTGTCGGGGGGCGACCCTCGGGCTGTTCTGTTAATGAATCAAGCTTCGGTGTGGCATTTCCTCTGGAGAAGGCTGAGCGCCCACTCTTGGACCCCCACATCAGACTTCTTCTAGAAGGTTTATTGCCACTCGCAGAAGGTGGCTTTGTGGGATCTTTGGAATATCCTCCACCCTGAGACTTGATGCCAGAACGAGAGTCCGGCTTCCCGCTGGGAATAACTTGCTGGCTCGAACGCACCTTGACGACGAGGTATAGCTCGGTCTCCGCCGATGCAACGTCGCCAATGTCTTGTGCTGAAAGATCGGCGAATATTGTTCTAGTTTGACCCGATTTCGCCAGACTTCCTATCGTTCCCCCGGGTGGTATGTCAATGATGAAGCATTCGGTGAGAGCGGCGGGCTGCCCTCCCACCGGCTTTGCTACAAGATAAACTACCAGTGATGTCTCCTCGGCTGATGCGCCGGCAAATCCCTTCACGTCAACAAGCAGGTGGTGCAGGGCCGTCGGTTCTACGGTGGGCACTGGTGGCTCATCCAGAACGCTCATAACGGACTGCAGCTTCGTAACGTCGACTACCGAATCATCGCCCGTCAATACTCGTCCCCGGTCTGCGGGGTCTCGAACAATGACCTCCCCTCCACATAGCTTATTCACCCGCACCAGGTCCCAGACTGTCTTTTCGCGCAACTTGTCATATTCATGTCGTGTGAGGACGTTGTGGAGGAACTGTTGTCGGCTAAGATTCAGCGTTTGGATCAATTGCGAAAGCTTCTCCAGGCGAGGGTATTGGCGAGATAAGAGTAGGCCATGTAGATTGGTGGAATGCCACTCTCGGAGACAGCTGGCAATTTCGTCAATAAGCGGTTCAGCTGCTGATGTTGGGGTTTCGTCGCCAATCTTGAGCATCGGTACGGGTGCGGCCGGCCGTGGGGCGTCAGGATCGCGCTTGACGGGGATGGAAAGTCGACCCTGAGTGCCGTTGGGTAGTTCCCCAAGCGGTTTGCGTCCCTTGATCTCGATTCTGGAGCCTTTGGACCCTCGTGAGCTTCCTAGAGATTTATGACCGTCTTTCAATTTGGGTTTCTCGGTAGCTGTTGGCGTCAATCCGCTCTTTCCCGAGTCGCTGCCGAGTTGAACATCGCCAGCGGCAGCAGCATCATCGCTTGTAGCATCGTTCAGGTCTTCCGTGTCGTCAGATTCACCCAAAACCTCGCGAACCTCGACGCAACTTCGGGGGAAGATGCCACTAAAAACGCGGGCTTCGAGTGTTTGGCCCTTTACGGAAGTCAGTCCGGCCAGCAGACTGGGTGGAGCTACCAAGTAGCCACGCAACCAGTTGCCATCTGGGGTTTCTTCAATGATGTAGAGCTCATCGCCTAGTTCGAGGGGGAGATCGGCCGGGCCCGAGGCGGCGAAAGGAAATGTCGCAACGGCGAAGGCAATGCGAGGAAGAGGCTGCCAGGGCATTGAAGGCTCGGTTCGTCGACGACGTGCGCAAAGATGTGGTCGGTATGTGGAAGAATGAAGGACGATGGGGACGAAAACCGATGAACCTGTAACAAATACAGCTTAGCACAGAGCCCAGATCGCACGGCAAAGGATACGGGAGGATGGTGATCGATCGCGAACCTGTGGGACCCTGGCAGGGCTGTTTCTGGTGTTGAGGTGGCCTCGTGGAGACGATCGGCTATCGCTTCATCAGGAACAATCGACACGGGCCGGGTTCGTGTGGTTTTGGTTCAGCGATCCGAAGAAGTGGTTGCGAGGGGGCAAGCAACGTAGGCGAGGAAGAGGGTGAGAGAGAGAGCGATATGGCGCAGGTTCGATCGAAGGGCTTAGCGTTTGGCGTTGCTTGAATTGGGACGACAAGGGCGGCGTTGATGTGTTGCTTGCAGTCTTGCAGTACGGTGCAACGGCGACTACAGCATGTGGCTTCTATCTCGAGTCTGGCGTTCGTGTGAAGGCGAATGGAGCAATTGGGTATCCGTAATTTTTCTCGCAGGGAAATTCGGCCGGCCTAGGAGAGCAGAAGAGGGTCGGCAGAGGAGGAGGGGGTCGGTGGGTTGGGTGGTTGGACTGGGGGATAAGGGACGGGGTATCAACAATGAATATGATTGCAGGCAAAAGGCGAAAAGAAAGCGACAAAGTTGTTCAAGGGTCGTATCGTGGTTCGGGGGACCCAAGCGGTATGTTCCTGGTTATTGCCTCTGTGATGGTCGTGTATCAGATCAGGGCGACGGATGGCGGGTTCAACGGCTGACTACTGCTGCTTTGGGCAGACGGACAGACAGATGAATCAAGGGAGGAATTGGCAGATGGCGGGAAAGGGGAGGAGGTGAGAAAAAAAAAGTCATGAGAGACACCAAACGGTCCTTGACTACCTACGTTGGGCTACGTTTAGATGTGAAGAATTTCCTGGCATGAGCGACAACGAACAATGAACATTGAGCATTGGGACGCGCAGCCGTGTGGTGCATTGAGCAGTAAGGTACATACCACAAGCCCAGACCAACGGAAAGCAAGAGCCCCTGAAGCACACAGCAGGGACAGCCAGGAAAGGGAAGGCACCTCCCAATTGTTGTGTGTGCCTGCACGGAGTATGTGCCTGAGCCTTGCTGTGAGTGGCTGGTGGAGAGCATTGGGGAGAATTGATTTGGGCTGGGCTAAAGCTGGACTGCAGTCTGATTGGCTAGATGAGGCTCAAAGAGCACGAGGTGTGGTGGGTCTATCAGGGTCTGCACGGATCACTCATCAATCAAGAGGGGACCTGGAACGGGGGAGGAACGACTGTGGAATCAGGAAGGAATGCAATGAAATAATCCGAGGCTGTATATACGCCGCAGTACCTTACACTCGCATGAACAGATTCAATTACCTTAGTAGTGTATGTATGTATCTATATACATTACTTAAGTATTCGCACGGCTACTAGTCACTGCAAAATGGCATTACTCGATGCAGATACCAATTCATCTTCGAGACAAGCACGGAAAGTCCAATGTCTTCTCATTGTCGCGACCCAAACTAGAGGCACAAAACATGTTTCATTTCATTCAATGACATGACGTCCCCATGCAACCCCATCGGGACCATCCCGCAAGAGCACCTCGTGTGGTTTGCCTTCAATAAAGCCAAGACCAAAGATCATTAGACAAAGACCAGACCGGAAGGAGAGTATTGCGATCGCGGCGACTGGGGTACCCATCGAGTCAAGAGCGGAGGCTCAGCGACTCGATTGGAATCTCTTTTTGGAAGCAACTGTCATTTAAATTCTACGCAAAGCATTCCCATCACAAGCAGGGTATGTCCCATCTCGTCTCAAACCGGTTCGAGCAACAGCGACACCCGAACGCCTGAGAAACTCCCGTCGTTCAATTAACTCAATCCGCCCAACCTTTATGCCACAATGGACGCAGCCTCCATGTCTTGGACCCTGGACCCTATTTAAACCTCAGCTGAGGGTGGAAAAGAAAACAACAACATGAGCACGGACAAAGACTGAGAGACATATGATCGCATGGCCTCATTCTGCCACTCTGTTCTGCCGCCTGCGTCCCTTATCGAGTAGCTATGCCATGATGGAAGTACCAGTAGCAGTCGCAGTAGTGAAATAGTCAGTGCATGTCCGTACATGTACCTTTACATGTGACCGCTGCAGCCTTCAACGCCCGTCCGTTGTCCTGGGCAGCAGCTACCACTTCATCTCATCACGCTTGGCCGCTAACCAGCGCCGAGAGAATGAGGCCGTTGCCTCTCTTTCTCTTCCTCTTTCGATTTCTTTCAGCATCTTAGCTGACGGTTTTTTACAGGGACCAGCCGAGCGATTGTTGTGCCCGCCCGTCGACTCGGTCGTGGCTTGCGATGCAATGCATTTCATTGTCTCTTGCCCCGTTTGGGAAGATGCTAGTCCGCGACTCGAGGTTAGTGGCGCAGGAACGTTCTCATGTATCTGTCCTAGGTAAGAGACGCATACCGGTACAGGATTGCGGAAGTATCTCTCCTCTGCTTTCTCAAACTATCAAACAGGTGGATCCATTCAATTATCAAAAAAAGCTTGTGGTTGGTCGCGGCCGTGCCATTCTATAGTCCGGGCGTCGACTTGCGTCTGCACTAGACTCGAAGAAGTCTGGTTCTCAGCTTCTTGTGCGTGTCTTTGTGTACGTACCGCATCTGAAGTCCCCGGGGCCCCTCCTTCCCGCGACCAACTCATCGTCTTTCCTCTCGGGCATTGTGGCCTCGACCATGTCCCTCTTGCCTTCGACCGCAGGTTGGTTCCTGCATTTCATGCCGTCCGCGAACTGCAGGCGCCTGCCCTGGCCGCACCCGCGCCTCACTTTGTCATCAGATGAACACCACGCAACGCACCTCTCAAGGTTCCTCGCCTGATGTAATTAATCAACTGCCTCATGCATCGTGAATGGGATTTCCCTCTTGCATCAGAAGCTCCAACTTCAGCCTCTTCTCCTTGTCAGACTTGATTTTCATGGCGGCGTTGCCCCGTTTGGCTCATGCCCCCACGCCTTGGCCCCCAAGTGTCATCTCGCACGCGCCAGCGCAAAGTGTTTGCGTCTCCATTGACCACTCATTTTGAGACACCGACATCTTCGAGAGTTCCATCCACAAATCCTACCCAACGACTGACCATGGTGTCACGCTCGGGCCCTCTGAGATACACCATTTGCGTCTGATTGTGTGCTAAGGAGTAGAAGCATGCAAGCACTTTGTGCGTTGTCAAGAGTTGTTGCTTTTACCATCAGGAGGAAGCATCTTACCCGTTCCATTCTTCAGCAGTACTGATGCCCAAACAGGTGCTATCTTTCTTTCTCTCTCTCCGGGTCCCATGCTCCTCGGCGGTGCCAAATTCGCTCCAAATCTACATCAACTCTTGGCTCACGAACATGCCCTGGGAGTCCACGTGCAACGTAGCAATCGATGCTAGAATTCACTTCGACACCCGCGCAAGATCCAGAGTCGTTCAAAGCGCAGACATCCTAGGCACTTACAACACCATCGCGCTATTGATGACACGGACGAAAGCCACGACGTCTGCCGCCGATAGCCCCGGATGTGGCTGAAAAGCTGGAGCGTTCAGGCCTTCCGCCCGGAGCGCCGAAATGAGACAGATTCCGGACCCACCCTACCATCACCGATCGGGATCAAGACTAGAGCCTCTACTGCCTTCTGGACCAGGCTATCCAACATCTCTGGCGGCTCTTGGACACTTCCCGCCCAACTAAGATGTACATCCATCGCATATACCGAGGCTACACCAATAGTCATCATCGTTCTCGGAGTAGACCGTTTTCCATCAACATGAGAGCAAGGGGACGGCATTTCCGATCGCCCAGCGAACCCAAGTGCGGTTTGATATCAGTCGATGCCTCTCAAGCCACTCTCGGCTCGAGCCGAACACGTGGCGCTGATGATACCGGACGTTTGTGTCTTGACGAGGTATCCCCGTGGCAGTCTTCTTCAACGGATCGACGCGGGGATTTTACACTATCGATTACTCCATCAGTTCTAACTCGCCCAGGGACCGCACGACAACGCTGCCTGCTAATATACGAGTGATCAGAGTTCTCATGGAGTTTCCTAGGAGTGCCATATCGAGCCACATAGTGGCGGGGCCGCGGGCTCAGGTGATCATTAGTTCGCTCGGCTCTCATCCTCGATATCATCGAAGTCCGGGGATGCATTTCCTTACACTTTGCGAAGTTATTGACTACCTGACCTGACTGCGAGAGCGAAGAGTTGGCGAGCGGAACTCATGTTCGCACTTAACACTCTAGTCACTAGATGATCCAATCGAAGACCATTCTAAGTATCTACCTGCGTAACGATTTCGAACCGTCTCACAGCCTGTGTCGGTCATCTTAGGCTCAGATATGTATCTGTTCGCCACTTGACAAAAGCAGAGCCTTTCGGTCGGGCATTTCAAGCAAGAGAACGTTCAGACAATCTGCGCCGCTGTATGATGGATCACTTCCACCCCAATATCGACAATTCCTGGACAGTATGAGATGGCATCGATCATCTTCTCCGGAGTCCAGTCGATGGTCTCATGATGGTCTCGTGATGGTCTCGTGATGGTCTCATTACCATGTATACATGATATCACATTTTCAGCCTTGTGGTGGTTCTTTCCGGCTTTTCGGGTGCAACAGATCGATCTTGACGGGGTCTGGCTTCAAGCAGATCACACGACAACGCGATACTCGGGCTATGCACCAAGCTCGCGCTCATTTCAGTATGGTGATTTTGAGCCAAACAACACGATCCAATACGAGATTGTAAGCAAATTGCCTATCGAGATGGCGGCACCGGCCGGCAAGGACAACCGCAGAGGTTCTGAATTCTGAGACTTGCAGTTACAAAATCTGCTCTGATGGGGATCATTGAAGTGCGAATTCCCGAACGTCTTTACTCTTCCTTCAAGTTAATGAGATCTGCATAGACTCGGTCACGGCCTACGCGTTTACCCTCATGAGGTTGCGACGATGTTGAAAACATTTCAGCCAGCCAAAGGCTACTCCCGGTGATCCCAAAAGCTCTTCCACTGTCGTTTGAGGTTCGTTGATCCCTGCTCCAGTGACAATCATATTACTGGACGGTCGTCTTTGGCACTAAACATGGTAGTCACCAAACATGGACTACGCAGTGGTGGTGCCCGGAATGAAAGTTCATTGTTTCAGCCGACGAGCTGACAATGAAGACTCCCTTCATCAAGGATAAATAGACCATCGTGCGGGACAGACGCTCTGTCGTTGGTCGATTCTTCCCCCGCGGTCTGATGAGGCCGCAACAGTTGCCTCACTGAATACCTGCGACGTGAGGGACTGCTGGACCAACCAGGCGGAAGCCTCAAGGTTACTCCAACAGAATGCCCAAGATAGACATAAAGAAGAGACGGCCTGATTATCAACGAATGTCCGCAATATATCTATACTTGCGCCATTCGTCACCTTCTCTGACGGCAATGAAAAACTACTTCATCAGCATGTGCTGGGTCGTCAGACTCTCCGTTGCCATCGATCTCACACCTGCCAGGGGATGTTCAACCTGCTCCGCCATGACCACCAAGCGTCACATGTCAGATGCTGAAGGTCTGGTCAGTTCGCACTTCCGTCGCCAGCAGTGCTGTTCGTTGGTGTCATGCGGCGCCGAAGCACTTACAGAATGTTCCGTCCCAATTGCTTCATCACAAATCCAGCAGTGAAGCGCCACAGAAGTGGTTCGGATGGTGCTGTGCTGCTCTGCACAAGTGGCACATGTCCTGAGTCCTCGGCCGGACGGAGTCGGCATGGAAATCTTTTTACGCATGTCGGCGCCGAGGAACGGAGGTTTTAGTTACCGATGCCGGGCCAATGTTTCGAGGGCTCGATAGTCCGGAGGCGGCGGAACGGAGCGGGCAAGCTCTCCGACCTGCCAGGATTCCTGAACGGGTATAGCTGGATGGCAGGTGCCCGCAAGAGCCGGCCGGGATTGGGCATTTCGCCGACAGTCCATCAGTCGAAATTTCAAACACCATGCTGGCTTACTGGTGGTTCGGTACCCGCCCAGCAGATGTCGCGAACTATGGCCTTCGGTAGCATCCGGTGACGATCTGCAGGGCTGAACGAGTATCCGTACGGGATAGAAGGAATACGCGGGATGGCCTGGTTCGTCGCATAAACGCGGAAATGACAAACCAGCGTGAACGTGCCCAATCCGGACTAGGTGAAGTCGCCGAACGACGTTGGCTGATATTTTGCACCGAGACTTGGGGTAGGTTGAATATCGTTTTGCTCGGTGAGGTTGATAAACACCATCATTGGCGTCAACTGCTCAGATGTCACGAAAAGCCCCGGCTAGAGATATCTGCCTTAGTGCAAAGAAGCTTTGCTAGGCGACCAAGGTCAGCGAGGCAGTACGACCTTATCAGCCATCACAAAGCTTTTTTCCCTTCCCTTGTCAGTCTCGCTAGGAAATCGCCGAGCAAAGGATGGCCCGACCACGGGGTCGGCGATGGCGGATTTTGATGATGTATGCCAAGACAAAATGTCGAGCTCGCATTGAAGGGCGGGTGCGCCGGCCCCTCCCATCATCAATGAAGCCACCCTCCCGCAGAAGCATGCCACCGACCATTGAAATTAAAGTCAGGTTGTCGAGAATTTTCATCACTGATCTAAAGCAGACTGAGCATGGCGGCGGCCTCTCCTTGGACGCCGACACCCCGTTGGAAGCGTGGGAAGCGTGGGGGAGGACGATTGGGATTCGGCCAACAGGCCTGTTACCACCTGTGTCACCCATCCACCGCTTTTGTGTCCATCTGTGATCTGCCAGCCAGTCTCTCCAGCGTTGGTCGACAGTGCTGGCGACTTGGTGACATGCAAGACGTTCCTTATCTAAGGTGCGGAGACGTACGAAAAGGCATACGCAACCTGCAAATTCAGACATGGTGGAGGTCGCGTGTTTGTCAAACGAGTCCGGTAATGAACGTCTCCCAAGAATACATTGGAAATGGAAACCCCAACACGCAATCCCCTGAGAGGGGGGGGGGGGGGGACGGTCATCCTCCATGGGAGCGGAGCGGAATTCTAGCGGCGGCACGCAGCAGAAGAGCCAATTTCATGACAAGGGGGAGCTCTACGGCGTATGGATACACAGTACCGGTAATCGACAAAATTTGCGACCTCTGTGCTGGGTTTTTGTTCTTTCTTTTCCCGCCGTTGAACACGAGGGAGGAAAATGCCTGCAAGCGGTGGGCTGTGAACGGACCCGTCTCCACGAACTCAAGAAGGACAAGACGGCTCTATCGGATGTCGCGGATGCAGACCACTCCACCATGTTGCCCGATCCCCTGTCTGATTGGCCGGCTGTCAGCTTACGGTGTCGTGTGCCTCGTCGCATGCCCTCCGTCATCTTCGATCCCTCCCCGACGCCCACCTTCCCCCTTAGCGGACGCGCGCCTGATTGATAACAGAGCCGCGTTTCCTAAGCGGACGTCGGAGCACATGTTCCCCCTGAAGGGAGTACAAAGTACGCAGTCGAGGCAAAGCCGCAAAGGCATGAAACCACAGCGAACCTCCAGAGAAGCTCGAGAGCACGGAGGGGGAACACAAGGGAGAGTAGTAGGGAACGGACCTGGGCTTCGAAGCATGACGGAACGGTTGAAGCGCAGGAAGAAAGAGACTTTGTTTCGCGGTTGGACGTGCTTGACAGAACAAACTACCTACGTCAGGTAGCCAAGCTCGGAACATGCAGAGCTAAGAGCATAACCGCACCGCAACGGCGAGCTGCCCACGACTTGAAGGGAGCACGCGACATTTCGTCTGTTGTCTTCTCTCTCTCTCACTCTGCTGCTCCCTCCCGAGTCCACAGCCCTCGCTCTTGTCTCATCCCAAGCCGTTGGCGACCGACAACACACCCAGGCTAGAGTCTGAAAGGACATTCTCTGGGTGCGAATTGAATTCCCGGGTGCGCCCACACTACAACCAAACCAAGCAGAAGCTCTCATCTCACACAGGGCGAAAGAAAGACGCAGCACACAAAAAGGAAGATGTAACCCTTGGCGCTCGCGGCACTTGGCGGGCGATTCGTCCACGTCAGGGATCCCAGCCCGTCCGCCCCAACAGCCCACAATCCGCTATTGGCTACAGATCGGAATTCCGTGTCATGGACAGGGTTGGTCACGGGCAGCAGAGCCTTTCCCACCATCCACAATCCACTTTGGGGCCATTGCGAGAGGGACCAGGGTGGGTTCGAATTCGACATGCGGTGCGCGGCTTGAGCTTGAGTTCCTCACTTTCCTCCCCAGCACCTCGGAGCCATGCGGAGCCCGCTGATGTGGACTGTGGCGGGTGGTGGGAGTGCGAACTTTGCGAGCAAGGACGAGGAGGGCGAAGACAGCCTAGGAGGATGCGCAAAGCGTGGCATGGGCTGCTGGATTCGCTACCTTACCTTTACGCAAAGTGCAAAGGCCACCAACCCGGTAACTCTGTATACGGTCGGTCAAGGTCCAGCTTGGTGGGTTGTGCCGAGCCTGGGCTTTCTGCTCAAAGTGTGCCGAAAGTCCATGTTCTATCTATTACGGTATTATTAACAGATCCATCTGATCCATGCTGCGTGATGAACGTCGCTACCTCGAGCTCCCCCGTTTGTTGTTGATTACCTTTCGACCTTCCCGCTCGACAGGTCTACCTTCTTCTTAATCTTGACTACTCCTCCTCTGCTCACTTATCCGTACTCCGTACAGTACTCAATTTAGATCCTCATCAGAAAATCCCCGGTAGTTCAGGAGACATCCAAACTTGGCCCCCTTTGACACGGACAATCTTAAACTCACATCCCCGACCTTCCGGTCGCCTCTCTCATTGGGCCTTGGCCCAGCACACACCGGTGGACTGAGTCTGTCAGATCCATCCCACCCGCACGCATCCAGCCTTCGGGACCTGTGGCCCTTGCCGAACCTCCCGCGCCCTCAAATACCACACGGCAGCAGTCACAACTGGAGTAGCCAAGTTTCTCCAGTCTCCTCATACCTCTTTCACTAATCGCCGTCTCCATCGTCGGCTGTTTATTCCGTCATCAGTCAGTCAGTCACTCAGTCACCCGAGGCAAGAAAGAAAAGATACAAGAAGGAAATATGGGTATCGGTGCCGTGGCAGAGCCCTTAGTGGTCATCACCCTTTTATTTGGAGGAACGTGGTTCAACCGCAACATTGGCGACACCAACGCCTACGATAACCTGGGATGGAAGGGAGCCGGTCTCGATGATGCCGAGCACAAGCGATCTGACGAGCGCCGTTCCGGCAACTCAACCCCAGACTCTGAAGAGTCCCTTCTCTCCCTCGGCGCCTGGAGCTCATCATCAACGTTGACACCGCAAGAAGAGCCGCCGCGACGCTCTCGCAGGATCAAGTTCTTTGGATACCAGCGCATCGTCACGACACCAAACACCAGAGTATACAAGGACAGACTTCTCAGCCGCGTCCTCCGCAAGTTCCCCTTCTTGGTCGAGGCATGGTACTGGGCCCTGATTTACTGGGTAAGCGGGAGACTCCTGATGCCGCCCTTCTAGTAATTATGTTTGGACCGTTCTGTTCTAACACCATCAAAATATAGGTCTACCAAGTCGGCCGCGCCTTCACCGCGCTCACCCTCAACGAGGGAACCGTCGACGTGGCGCGCAAGCACGCACTCCAGCTCATTCACCTCGAGCAGCGCCTCCACGTCTTCATTGAGGTGCCCGTCCAGCAGTACTTTTTGCAGATGCCCACCGTGATGCACTGGATCAACCGCATCTACTCCTTTATCCACATCCCGGGCACCATCCTCTTCCTCGTCATCCTCTACTTCATCACCACCACCCGCAAGCGCCGCGCCGTCTCCGCCAAGCTCGGCGGCAACGAGAACATTCGCTGGAACTCGGCCGGTCCCGCCCTGTACGAGGCCCGCCGACGCACCATGGCCACCTGCAACCTGCTCGCCTTTGTCGTCTTCACCCTCTGGCCCTGTATGCCCCCTCGTCTCTTGAGCGATCCCAACTATAACGGCCCCGATGCCGGTGAGGCTAAGAGCTTTGGCTTCGTGGATACCGTGCACAGCTCTACCGGCGAGAGCAGCGTCTGGACGACGAACAAGTTTTGCAACCAGTATGGTGAGTTTTGGACCTCCAAATCATGATTGCAGCCCCAACATTGATTTCCTTACTGACAAACGGAATAACAGCCGCCATGCCCTCCCTGCACTTCGGCTACTCCCTCCTCATCGGCCTCACCGTCGCGACCCTGCCCCTCCCCTCGATCCGCTCGCGGCCCTGGAAGCGCTTCGCCATCGTCGCCGTCGGCATGGCCTACCCGGCCCTGATCCTCACCGCCATCGTCGCGACCGCCAACCACTTTGTCCTCGACGCCGTTGCCGGCGCCATCGTCTGCGGTCTCGCCTGGAACTGCAACGGCGTGCTGCTTAACCTGCTCGTTGTCGAGGATTACTTCCTTCGTCTCTTGCGCATCCACAAGCCTGTCAACTGGACCGATCCTGAGGCGACGATTGATACCAATGAGTGGAAGCCCAGCACGGTTCTAGATGAGATCTAAAAGCTACGAAATTTTAATGCTTCTCTCTTTTGGTTGCAAACGGCGCACTATGCTTTTGATGGGGGAGGGATGGATTAGGAATTTTTCTGTAATGGCTCATGGCTTGGATCGTATTCTTCATGCGTTACCTTTTGCATTGAGAGACAACAGGTCAAGAAAGAGAGGTTTTGCCGGCATGTGTGTGGATAGTACAAGTTCTCGCATGATGTGGCGAGCATTTTGGGTTCAAGTGGCGGAGTTCCATGGGCTCTTTTTACTGTCTTTTTTAACGCAACAACGCGAAACCATCCCTATTCAGACAAGGTGGATGACTTGCCATAAGTTAAAGTTACGGTCTTGATACGAACACGAGCAAAAATATAAGCTCATATAATGGAATTACCTTATGAAAAATCCCACTTCTCTCCTTTCATGTTGTAGACTCGGCAGCAAACATTTTCGTATGAAGACATTCTGGCGGCTGTCTGCTCCGAGGAAAAGTTTACTCTTACATTAGATTGCCGAGGTCTTTGCCTTGCCAAGCCGGCAATGGAATGCATTCAAGACGTTTTCCTTTGAGTTGCACGGTCTTGTTTTGATCTTGAATGTTTGTTCGCTTTGACAGGTTGGTTCGCACGGATGTGACAACCGAGCGAACGTTTACGCAGCAAAGACGCCTTTGTTTCCGGGGGCGGCAAGAACCTTATTTCGGGGCGTGTCAATGTCATGCCGGTACGCCGGTTGGATTTGAACATGCGGCTGGGCTCGAAGTTTCAGTATTCCATGGTGGTGGTATCTTATTCTTGCCGTTCAGACTTGAGACGATGTTCTCCAAGAAAGCGGGCGTGGAGGCGATTCCCGGCCTGGAAAAGTGAGGTTAAGAGAGGGAATATTGGTTTGATGTAGGAATAAGCAGGTAGTACTAACAAAGTAACCGAAAAAGCCTAAATCCTACAAAGCTCGGACTGCCATGTAGTGAATTGATCGGCTTCAAGGGGAGGAGAGGAGTCCCAGAGGTCTGGGTGTTGAAATAAGATTCTGGGGGGCATGCAAGGTCAGCATTTTGCAGTTCCCGTGTCCCAGCTGTCCCAGGATTAAGGAAGCGACCATGACAGCGGAAAATGACAGTCTTCGATTGGCGTTCCGTTCCTCCACGCCCCAACCGTGCCAGCCTAGCCCTCGGGGGCTTGTTCTTGGGGCGGGAATGATGGCCACATGGCGGTGCCGTTTGATCCGAGTGTTTGCGGCGGGCGGGGCGGATGGGGTATGGAGTACACGGGACTCCACTACCGCCCGGAGCGTTGGAGTGTACGGAGTGGAAGTGGTGCTGGGTTGGACCCACTCTGGATGCCGCGGGCGCCGGGTTCCCGTGGAGGAAGTGCGGTGTTTTGATTACCCCGCCGCGACTCCCTCATCTGATCCTCTACCCGCCTCTCTACGGCTCGGGGGATTAGTTTAGCTTGCGGTCTTTAGCTCCGTTGTTAAGCGTCACCCGGGGGCCGTGATCGGATTCGCCGCCCGTCATATGGCGCCGGCCCTCCCCTTAATTATGTGGCCCTAGCCGGTTTGGTGACATTCGGGGGCTTGGCGAGCGAGCCGATGCTGGGCGTTCGAGGACAGATGCCCCGAAAATTGTCGCTGACCGGGGCGAGATGCGATCAACCAGAAACGTGACCTAAGCCTTTGCCTCCCCACGCTCCCGGGACCCCGACTAGATGAACTGGGGAGCAGCTTCGACGTGAGCTGGGGGCCTATCATTGCTGAAAGAAGTCCGTTGCAACGTCGTTATATTTTTCCGCCTTGGCGGTGCATGATGCGGTGCATCATCGAGCTCCCTCCCCTCCTTTTTACCCCCTCGCTGATTCCACCAACAGGTCTTGCGATATTCCTCCATTGAGAGGTGTTCTTGGACCCTGACTTCTCGCAGGTTCTTTCTCTGTCCAACTAGAGGGCTCAATTGGACGTTGTCAAGGCGCAGTTGCTTGCATGTGCCATGCACTGCGCATGTTTATCGGCGCACCGGAAATTTGGGGACGACCGAAGTCGTCATGAAGGCCTCCAGAATTTGTCCATGGTGCGGTTGTACGCTGCGGACTGCGGTCAAGGATGCGTGATGGGTATGGCGTTACGAAGAGGTATATAGGCAAGCAAGTCCATACTAGTGATTCCAACACATCTGGTCCTCCTACCCAGCGTTCATCTCGTACATTGAAGGTTCACTGCTAGACCCCCTGGGCTTTTTTCAAGCTCCTCTCATCCTCCCCAGCACCCAAGATGCGCGCCTCCGCTTCCCTCTTAGCCCTCGCCGGCACCCTCGCCCTAGCCCAAACCCCTTCCCGCCCCTACTCAACTTGGCTCGCCTCGTCCTTCGTCGCCCGCAAAGCCCCCATCGACGCAGGCTACGGCCCGGCCGTTCTCTACGAAGGCATCGCCCGCGCCGCCGCCGCCGCCTCCAACGTGACCCTTCTCCGCGCCGCCGAGACCGCCGTCTCCTCCCTCGTCTCCGATGCTGGTGTCCTCGACGGCTGGGATCCGGAGTGGTACTCCCTCGACGACATCCGCATCGGCAACAACCTCCTCTGGTTCTACCAGCGCAACACTACGGCGGGAGCGAAGTACAAGATCGCGGCGGACGGGCTGCGGCAACAGTTGAACCGGTGGCCGCGGACGCCTAGCGGCGGGTTCTGGCACCGCGCGCCGATTTACGAGGATCAGATGTGGCTGGACGGGATCTACATGGCCGATTCGTTTTATGCGACCTATGTCTCGCTGTTTGAGAAGGGGAATACCACGGCGTGGGGGGAGATTGCGCTGCAGTTTGATCTGATTGAGGAGCATACCCGGAACCACACGACAAACTTGCTCGTGCACGGGTACGACGAGGCAAAGGACGCCGTCTGGGCGGATCCCGTGACGGGAGCGAGCCCGTTGGTGTGGAACCGTGCTGTTGGGTGGTACTTCATGGCGCTCATTGACACGCTGCAAGTGTATCCCAAGAACCTTCCGGGATACGCGCGGCTACAAGAGTACTTTGTCACCCTGGCGGATGGGTTGGCAAGAAGCCAGGATGCGTCGGGAGGGTGGTGGCTTATCATGAACGAGGGGTACCAGACGCGCAAGGGCAACTACCTTGAGTCGAGCGCCGCAGCCATGTTTGCTTACGGTCTGCTGCGCGGTGTTCGGGATGGGTTCCTCGAGGCAAAGTACAAGGATGTTGGACTCAAGGCGTACAAGGCCCTTGTGAGGGACTTTATTCGGGATGATAAGAATGGGCTCATTAGCTTCACGGGCACGGTGCAGGTTGGGAGTCTGAACTCGAACGCGAGTTTTGAGGTAAGTTGCTGTTGTTATTACGCTGAACCCCCATCTTGAGAGTTGCTTTGCTAATTGGGTTTTCTAGTACTACACCAGCATCCCTATTGTCGAGAACGATCACCGTGGTAGCGGGTCTTTCATGTTTGCCGCTATTGAGGCCGAGCTGGCCAAGTAGACACTGGACCGAGGAAAGATCATAGACCCGAGCCCTAGAACAGAAATAAAGCTTCCATATATATCTTTACAGCTCCAGCCTAGCTTCGTGCCAATTCCTTTATGTAACAGTAAAGACCTGCCTAGGCCACAACAAAGCCTTATGCGGCGAAGTGCCACCCTGTCTATCTATACGGTGTCCAGAGGTTTTCTCTCTCTAAGTCTTTGTCCATATCGATACAACAGAAGAGGGATCGGAACCATGGCCAGACTGACAAAACCAAGCACCGAATTGCCCCACCCTAGGCCAAGGTTCCTGTATAGACTCGGTCCAACTAGGGGAAGAAACCCACCTATAAGACAGCGAGCCGATACAACGCAAGCATACGAAGAGGATGCATAGGGCCCAGAGGCGTCAATCAAGTAAGCCTGAGAAGACGCGTTGATCCCAACCTGAGCAAAGCCAAACGGCGCCAAACTGATCAAGGGGACGATCCAATGCGTCCTCGAATACGTTGACCACCCATACCAGAAAAACGTGACGGGGATGAATAGGGCTGGAATGAAGGCGGTGACCAGTCTCATCTCTGGCTGGTACAGGCCGCCATTCTTCTTTGCGAGGCGTGCGGCGATGAGGTCTGAGGTTTTGGCGAAGAGGAGGAGACCGATTAAACTTCCGAAGCCGAGGCCCAGGTAGGCGAGTCCAGCTGTCTCGAGAGGCCAGCCGTAGACTTCCTGGAAGAAGGAGGACGTGGATGTGAGGAGGATGTATAAGAGAGCTGAGATGAAGCCCGTCATGATGCAAAACACCGGGACCAGAGGTGAGCGGAACAGCATCTTCCAGGGGCGGCGGAGTACTTGACCCAGTGTCTGAGAATTCTTCTTGGACGAGGTCCCGACCTGGTTGTCGTAGAAGCTCAGCAAGTCCGTCCTCCCCGTCTCCTTTCCAATCCGCAATGCCTTCCGACGCAAGATAATGTGCGCATTTGTCTCTGGCGTGAAAAGGTTCATGAGGACCGTCACGATGGCAGATGCGATAAGAAGCGTCCAGAAGATCCAGCGCCAGCCTGCGCGTTGCGTGATGATGCCCCCGAACAAGGGCCCGAGCACGGGTCCGAATAGAGAACCCGTCGTGATGACTGCGTTTGGTACACCGCGTTGGTGGACATCATAGAGGTCTGCTAGCATTCCGCCTGCGACGGAGAAGCATGCCGAGGCGCCGAAGCCTGAAATTGTGCGGAAGGCGAGGAGACATCCGATGTTGGGGGACAGGGCGCTGCCGACGTGGGTGAGGGTGAAGAAGATGTTGGCGTAGTAGAATACTGGGCGCCGACCGTAGAATTCGCTGAGAGGTGAAAGAAGAAGAGGTCCGACCTTTAAGAATGGCTGATAAGCACGTGCATTGTAATGTTTAAGTCGTGATTGTAGTTGTTTATACTCACAAGGTAGCCAAAGACGTAGATAGTTGTAACCATTGAAGATACTGTCGATGAATCATTGTGAAACTCAGAGTCAATGCTTGAAGCAGCTGGTGCGATGACTGAGGACGTCAAGAAACTATTAGGAGAATGGCATCAGGTGTTTGTTTTATACGCTTCAGCATCTAGGCGAGACTGCGAACCTGAGCACTATCATGCAGCTAAGCAGAGCCAGGATGGTAGATTTCCTCGTTGACGGGAAGTTTCTGCGTCACATCAGTATCATTGAATATCAGATCCAGACATAGAGTTTCCGACTTATTGTCATAAAGTTCTCACCTTGGGTTCTGGGTGTCATGCTGGTCATCCCATGCTACCACCCCCGTGTCAAGATCAGACACAGGATCGGACCCGGCAAGATCGTTGGGCGAATTGACGTCAACAGCACCCATTTTATAGATCAGGGGTAGAATGTACTTGAATAGTTGATAGGAAAGGCTCAAAGGGCAAGTTAATTGCTCATTCTCAAAATCTCCTTAAAATACTCGACTTCGTCAACACTTAGACTAGGTTCGCCCGATCGGCCGATCGGCCAAAATGGGGCACGCGGGGAAACCTCGGGAGGCGCACCGAACCGCAAACGCCATCATCATCTTTCCATTTAGCATGACTCTAGCTCATGATTCAATTTACCGAATTCATCTTACCGACTACAAGCTCTCTTCTCACAACTTCCTGGATCTCATTGGACCAGACCTGCGATGAGTGATCAAAGACGTCTGGGACCACGAGACCGTCCTTCTTGCAAGCCCTGTCGTGATCGCAAAGTCCGCTGCAATCGGGGCCTCCCTTGTTCGCAGTGCACTCGCTTACAGCTCTCATGTGTGTTCGAGGCCAGAACGAGAAGAGCCCCCGTAAATGCCCGATCAGTCAAGTCCTTTTCGCCATGCGATGCGAACGTACCATCGTTTTGCGAAACTCCTGTAGTTCATCAAGTAACTGAGTCATCGTCACAACCTCCTCCAGAGCAGACGATACAACCGACGAACCAGGAAGTTCTTGACCGACTTGCTCGAGTTGAAGGGCTCTTATCCAATCTTGTCTCCTCTCTTCGTAATGGAGCCCCGGTGCAAGATCCGTGTAGACAAAGCAAGCCTGGGTCGGACCCCGTTTCGGCTCCACCGATCCTGCCATCACAAGAAGTCCTTGTCGGAGACGGGGAGAGAGGAAACTTTGTAGATGATTCAGTATTTGTGGGCTTATTTCTTGGGGTAATGGCTCGAGCAACTTCTAGTCTTGAGAAAACATGTTGATATCTCCTAGGACCCGCCTCGACAGCGACCCATAGCCGGCACAAAGACTAGAGATCCCAGACCCAGCGCAACAACTCAACATATATCTCCCCACTATGGCATAGCTGCCACGGATGTCTTTGGATCTGACCCGGAGACCGTCTCAGTACCTCCTCACGTCCTTACCAGGCTATGGATCGTCTATCTACAAAACGTGGATCCCTTGATCAAAATACTCCACATACCCACGATCCAGCCAGTGATGCTTGGTGTCGCAGCCAAACCTCAAGGAGCAGACAACATCACACAGGCTCTTCTTTATACCACTGCCTTTGCGGCAACGACCAGTATGTCTAGCACCGAGGTTGCAACCCAACTGGGTATTGAAAGGCTGGTCCTCTTGCGCCACTTTATGCGGGAAATAGATGGCGCATTCACGAGGGCTCAGTTCTTACTTTATCCAAACGTGCAGGGGTTGAAGGCTCTGGCAATCTACTTGGTACGGCAATTTGGATTCCACTAATACATTACCCATTGCTGATCACGCATACACAGACTGCACTAAGAACCTTCGACACCGGCCGAACCATCTGGACGCTCACCGGCCTCGCTATCAGAATAGCAGAATCCCTCGGCGTACACGAAGACGGCTCCCGTCTCGGCCTGGGCCCCTTTGAGACGGAAATGCGTTGTCGTCTCTGGTGGCATCTCACCGCCCTAGACGCCACGGCGCCCGAAAGCCACGGATTCAACAACACAATGGCCGACCGCGGCAAAATCTTTCGCTTGCCGCTGAATGTGAATGATACCGAGCTATGGCCCCAGATGGACGAGGCCCCTGCCGGAAGAGACGAATGGACCGAGACGACCTTTTCCATCATGAACCTCGACCTCTGCCGCAACCTACGCCACGCCGTCTCCGCTGTCGGGGCGGCGGACGAGCGAACGAGGGAGGCCAAGATCCAGCAGACGGAGTCCTCCATGGCCCATCGCTGGCTCCGGTTCGCACCGAAGAATAGTGACCTACATTCTGCCGCGGAGTCTTTGCTTCGGATATCCGTAGCCAAAGCGCGCTTCATCTTGATGCTCCAAGCCTGGCTCTCGGCGCCAATGGAACAAGAACGCAGGTACCGGTACCTGCCCCATTCACTGTTAATCGCTGCCATCGAATTGCTCGAGCAAGGGTATCTGCTTCAATCAGGAAAGCTTTTCCCCGGCTACGCCTGGTTCTATCAGCAGCATCCGCAATTATACGCCCTGTTCCTCACGCTCCGCACGCTCGTCGATTCGCCTGAACGAGGGGAGGCAGAGCGCGCTTGGCTTGCAGTGGATAACTACATCGCCTGCCTCGCTGACTTTGAAGAAGCGAATGAGCGGAGGGGGAAGAAGAGTTGCGTGTGGGCGGCTATGGGGCCGTTGCGAGACCGGGCGAGAGAGTCGACTCGACAGCGCGAAACCGCCGAGGAGACGTCAATACTGGTAGCAGCGTCCCCAAAGATGCCATCTGGGGAGAATATTGGCACTGGACTATCACAACCGTGGAATGCAATCGCGCTTGAGCCGCTGGCGTTTGATAACATTCTTACATGGCATGATTTCTCAGATCTATTTGATGTCATTTGAGATCGAGGGATAGACAATCTGACGATTCCCTTGCCAGCTTTGCTAGGTACATTGGAATAGATTGCTCCTTGGACCTTATGCGGTTGAAAGCAAACGAGTCTAGAAATGAAACATGAAACGGAATTTCTTCCATCCAATTTTCTTCACCGATTCGAGTTTGCCAAGAAAGCCTAGAAGTAAATAGGCTGAGTTTCCTCGGTCAGAGAAGCAGGTCTAATTACTCAAGAGTAGGTGAGTTAAGGATTTTCTTCGGACCAAGGCGTAGATTCGAGTGACGATCAACCCGCGTCCTTGTCTCAGGGTTTAACTTCGTAAACCCCATTTAGGTAGGTAACATAGTAGAAAGCTTCCTGGCTCCAGGCTTCCGCTGAAGATCGGTCATGAATAACGGACCCAACGCTTCTCAAGCAGATTGTGCAGCTTGATGATGTTGACAGATACGTGTGTGTTTTATTAGTGGTCGGCATGATCTTGTTCATGATGTTGAACATTGGCTATTCACTCCGTGGCCAAGCCCGACTGGTGCTAAGCCTAAGTTTGGGAAAGGATACCGATAGGATGCGGATATCTTTCGCGAAACCTAGAATTCAAGCGTTGCGAGCCTACGATGTGGATTGTTGCCAAGTCATATAGTGCCTTTGACAAGGTTCCAATGATTCATGAAGCTCCACGAGCAATTGCCTTTCGAGCCTTTTGATTTGGTTGATTGATAGCTGCCTGGTCGCCTCCATCGCCCAAAGCTTCCCAATGCGGTTAGGAACTAGCGAAAGCACAGTAAGCTGTGCCTTGGTAGCACCTTGCCATGTCGCCAGCTGAGAGAGAGCTGCATGGGCACCAGGGCAAAATCGCTTGATCCAGGCAAATGATTGGGTGACAATTCTCCCATTACAGGATGCATGTTTATCGAAGGGGGGAAAGGAAAGCCGCTTAGCCCAACGCAATTAGTTTGAGATGTGGAACGCTGCACATATTCGTTAGTCGTCTTACACACCATCTTTCGTATTTCCAAGTAAAGAGAGCCGTACATCCTACTTGTGGAGAAAAATAAAACTTGGGTGGATCGGTGAAAACATGGTGGAGATCAACAATTTGAGTCCGAGGAGTTGGCGATGATGCCATACAAACATGCTGGGTAATAAGCGAACACACCTGTTGTTCGTTCTCATGGAATTATGTGCTAGGTCCTGCACTTGTTCTGCTTGCTGATGTTGTTGTGAAATAGGGCCTGAACGCTCATTGGTTACCAACATACTGTCCGGTGCATCGGTCTTTCGCCTATATATGGCTCTTATAGCGAAGATGTATGCAAGTACGAGCCTTCAACCGCATAGTATACCGGCCGTAAAATCACTGCCGCTGCATATCCCAGTGGCTTTCACTTGAACATGTGGCCTATCTCTAAGGGATTAACGATACAATGTCTATCATCGACGGGTGTCTCCGCTCTGCTGAAGCGGCGCCAACGACGATCATGGGCCGCATAAGCAGGTCGGCGTGGACAGCATGATCGTGACCAAGTCTAATTCATTGAAGTTTCTAACTAATAAATTTGCGATAGGACGAAAAGTACGAAGCGCCACTTGAGCCACTTTGCGCTGTGTTCGAGAATATCCAATTCAGGAATCCCTTTGTAACATGACTCTCATTGCCTGTTGCAAAATTCCTCCACTATTTGAGCATGTGTCGTTATCAATATTCTTTCCAGAAGATCTTCCTTCCCACGCGGAGGTGCCGGGATGACATGCACTCAGGAACCGGTTGGTCTACCAGTCCGAGACCGTCAGGCCGTCAGCAATTGGTAACCCGAAATGGAACATCTCACGACCCAATTTTGTCGGAAATTCCACGTTGGGCGCCACAGCATTCCCCGAAACGCAGGCACAGGGTCTCGCAAAGGTGAAGGAAGGAAAAAACGTCGTGCCACCCGATCATCCGTTCTGCACTTCTTTCGCACGTAATTAATGGGCGGCATGGGGGATCCGAAGAAACGCAGTCGTCCGCGTGGTCTGGACCTGCAGACATTCAGGTAGGACAAATGCAACAGTCTGCCCAACATCTGCGAGTACAAGCAGAAGAACGGTGTATATATCCCCAAGCATAGTCCACCTTTGTACGCAGTGCATGCCCTCTTGTTCGATATTACCAATCATTACCGTCAGAGAGGCGACGAATAATGAGAGGCTCATCCGAGCGCTGCTGCTCTCCTTCTGACATGGAACTCGGCGACGGGTCTTAGCTGCTTGGGCTAGCCGAACCCCCGGGTCCACGGTCGATGCAACCCTCCACTATCTGATATCTGGCACCCTAGAAGTGATACTAGTGGAGAAGGTTCTCATTAGGATCAGGATGCATACCAAAGAGCTGGTTGTCCAAAATCAGTTCGGACGATCGGATAATGATGGGATTATCTGGCAGGCGCTACCTACCACTCTTTTCCTCCTTCCATCCCATTAAGTAAGTAAGGGCCTGCCTGATTTTTATACACAAATTTCTGCCCCAGAGACACGCTGTACCTGGAGTATTCTCAAACATCTCCGGACAGACAAGCCCTACCGCACTTATTCCTCTTACTACCTACTAAGCCAATTCCTCTTTCCCCCTTGTATTGTAACCACTTACCCAACCCAATCGAGACTGGACTTCACCCCAAAACCAACATTCCGATATTGGGATATTGGAGGTGGCCAGCATGGAGAACATTCTCGACAGCCACCCCGAGTATGTATCGACTTCGCGGCTTGATGATCTGCGCGCTACTGAGTATGGCTACCTCGACGAGCAGGACCACGTCTACCTCGACTTCACAGGCGCAGGACTCGCCGCCCGATCCCAGATCCGAGCCCACGAGACTCGACTCCAGCAAACTCTTTGCGGCAACCCGCACTCTATCAATCCGACGAGTCAATCCGCTACTCACCTCGTCGAGCAGGCACGAGCCCGCGTCCTATCCTACCTCAATGCCTCCCAGGAAGAGTACACTGCAATTTTCACTCCAAACGCAACAGGCGCCGCGCGGCTCGTTGCGGAATCATACCCCTTCACGAGACGGACCAGACTGGTTCTCACGTCCGACAACCACAACTCCGTCAACGGCCTCCGAGAATTTGCACGCCGAAAACACACACGAACCACTTACGTTCCAGTCCGCGCCCCGGAGCTGAGGATAGACCCGTCTGACCTCATGTCAGCACTAAACCTTCGCAGAGGTGGCTTATTCGGCTCAGCTGCAGCTGCAGCTGCGAAACTAGCTCTGACCCCACGAACCACCAACGACGACGCGGTCAACACCAAATCCAAAAAGAGAGGTCTATTTGCGTACCCTGCCCAAATTAATTTCAGCGGCGTCCGTCATCCACTGTCATGGATCAGCGTCGCGCAGAAGCAGGGGTATGACGTGCTCCTCGATGCGGCGGCGTACCTGCCGACCTCCAGACTCGATTTGTCCGCAGGATCCGGCGTCCAACCGGAGTTTGTCATCTCGAGCTGGTACAAGCTATTTGGCTACCCGACCGGCGTTGGCTGTCTGATTGTGCGACGCGATGCTCTGGCGAAGCTTGCCACCTCACGACCTTGGTTTTCAGGTGGAACCATCACAGCGGCATCGGTTGGAATTCCCTGGCACGTCATGGCGCCGGATGAGGCTGCCTTTGAGGACGGAACGGTCAACTTCTTGTCAATACCGGATGTTACTGTTGGGCTGGACTGGTTGGAAGGCATTGGCATGCCGTTGATCGACACCAGGGTCAGGTGCCTCACCGGCTGGTGCCTCGATCGTTTACGGAATCTCGAACACAGTGACGGGTCGCCCATGGTCAGGATATACGGCCCGACGGATATGAAGCTGAGAGGTGGAACGATTTGCTTCAACTTTTTGGATATTGGCGGAAGGGTCGTCGACGAGAGACTGGTTGCTAAGGAAGCCTCTGTCGAAAACATATCACTACGAACGGGCTGCTTTTGTAACCCTGGTGCTGGAGAAGCTGCCTTTGGTCTGGACAAGAGGGCTTTGTTACCGCTCAAAGACATCCAGAGTGACTCTCTGGACGACTTCGTCAGGCTTTTGGCACCTGTGGGTGCCGTACGGATCTCGTTTGGGTTCATGACGACGACAAAGGACGTGGATCGCTTGCTGGACTTTGTAAAAAGGAGATACACCGACAGGCTGACAACAGCTAATGGCCTTCCGCCACACGAACACTGTTGAACATGATTATTGCCTCAATAAACCACCCTTTGTTGAATAACAAACTCACTTGTTCGCATTAAAATACACTGCCCGAGTGTATCTACCTTATTCTGGGGCTTATTTAGAAGTAGCCGTTATTAGTATAAGCAACAGCTACGAATTATAAATCAGAATATACTAAAAACGTAAGAGCTTTGTTACTAAAATAGAATTCCTTAATTATCATTTAGATAACTATATTCAATTTATGAATATATCTTTATAAAGGGTAAAGAAATATTTAATTTAGTGAGACTTTAAAAAGTATATAATAATTTATTAAACAAGTATTTTTTTTTATTAAATTTTAGTTTTATATTTTTAAGATTATATTGAAAATGAAGAGAGTAATATTTATAATAATACTAAAAAGAATTATGATATTTAATTCCGTCTTAAGAGGCTATTAATATAAACGATAATAACATAAAAACGAATATTGATAAAATATATACTAGAGATAGATAAGGGAAGATCAATTCTCTTAGATATCGGAAAATTAATAGAAAGTTGGGCTATAATGTTGTTCTGAGAAAAGATAAGGTAAGGACCTCGTTAAACCCTCACTACACCTAGGTTCGCCCCTCCCGCTGACTTTTATATTTAGCAACGAGAAAGGATATAGGTTACTGTTTAGGTAATACACTACTAAGAAAAGAAAATGCAAACGCCTCGCGACCTGACAGCGTACAACGTCGTTGGAGATGGAAAGGGAAGCCCGAGGAGTTTAAAGTAGGCAGGGATTTGAAATCGGGGACGCTGAACTTCGTAGGCAACTTGTCACTAATGCCCTCGTCTCAATCTCAGCCATAAAAATACAACAGTCCCGAAAAGCACCAGCAACAGCCCGGGGGTTGTGTACAGAGAACCTTGATTCAGTGGGCTCTCGACCGCATTAGGTCTGTAAATGACCTTCTCCGTCAGGCGGTGAGCTGCTTGCGGGTCGTGAGCAGGGAGCAGCACAACGTTTTCGCTCCTAGCGAACTCTTTGATTTTCCTGAGAGAATCGACTGCTAGCGCCGGATTGCTGTTGACACCATCCGTAAGCTCCTGATCGAGTAGGTCCTGATCATATGTAGCATCCCCAAGTAGGAGATACGAAACATCATCAGCACGAACAATGACCGAAAGATGTCCTGGCACATGGCCGGGTGTGTCGACAGCCACGATCTTTCAATCTTCAGTGATGGGATAGCTCTGGTTCCACGGACCAATGGGGCCACCGGTTGGTTGAAGCATGGAAGGTTTGAAAGATGCTGGCCATTGGTTCGGAACGGCTCCTTCCATTGTAGCATGAAATGGCGTCTTGTACGCCTGCCAATGTTCTTCGGTGATCCAGACCGGTGCTCCGACGAGGTCGGGCAGCCCGTCACCATGATCATGATGAAGATGGGATAAAACGACTGCCTTAAGGTCACCTGGAGTAAGGTTCTCTTGCTCGAGTCGGGAGCCAATGCCCTCATCTTTTCCTACATCGATATCGACGGCAAGATGGAAGAAGGGCATCCAGAGCGGGAAATAACCGGGCTCCATACTGTGTGGCGACTCGCCGGAGTCGAACAGAATGGGCCCCTCTGGATGATCGATCAAGTACGTGTTAATAGGCAACGGATCTGTCCAGGATGTGTCCAGCAAGACTGACAGGCGGCGCAGGAGTACAGCTTTATTGGCAGGCTGATGACGGTGGGAGGGGCGGATTCTTATCGACCCTGTCTGGAGAATCTTGATGCTGATGGCCATTTTGAAGTTGCGATGGAAAGGTATGAAGAAGTGCAGACGAGTTCACAGGACTTGGTTCATACGGAAAAGAGACTGAATGGTGTTGATGTCGATGGATAGTATTTATTTGAGTCCGCGGGATATTGACTTTGGGCGTCTGAATGCAGCCACGTACTTTGTACCCCTGGGCACGATGAAGACATTCAATGTGTCATGGACCAATCGCCTTAGACGCTCTAGCAGCACGGCGATTGACGAACGCCGTTTTCCGTGATCGGAGGTCCTAGCCACCGACGTCCGACTTCTGGTGATTTACAGAGCATCATGTGTTTAGGCATCGCAGACGGACGCGCCAGTACGGCTCCAGGCTCATCCGATGCCCGGCTTTCGTCTTGTGAAAGCCTGCCCTTTTCAACCCCGTCGTAAATGCTTGGCCAAGATCTCCCGGTCGCCGACGGAAACCCACGACAGGGACGCTTCCATCAAGCAGTGCGTGTGAAGAATGTCGCTTGGAGAGCACGCCCCTTATGCGAATGAGAAGGACTGAAAGGTGGAAGAAGCGATAGCTACTCGAATCGCGTAACGCGCACGGGGTTTAAGGGAGAACGAAGGCGCCTCTTGTTCCACAAGTAGTGCAAGGATAGCCCGAGTTTCCATCTAATCATTGCCGAATTTCGCAGAAAAATAAAGGTATTGAACATAGTCCATAGACAGACGCGGAAGTAAAAGTATTGACTGGTGTATTACTAGCAGTTTGATCTTGTGGAGTCTCGGGTCTCGCTTGGGTTGGCTGATCTCTTGACTAGTTTCTCGTGACGCATTTGAAGTAAGCAGCAGGCGTTATTCAATACTCGAATAGCCCTTTATATCAGTCCCTGAGGAAGAGCTAGCTGAATACTATATAGGACGCAGCTCGATTAGTTATAACATTTTCCGTCGTTACGAGTTTCAATACTGATTTGCTATACGAGGCTTCTTGGGGCGCAAATCTGCTCCATGTTATAAAGAAGATAGAAGCTACGTGGGTAACTTCGATTTTATGTTGTTTATTCCATGAGATTGAACCAGTAGGTACTTAAGTAGCCTATACATAGTTCACAATTCGCGATAACAGAGCGAAATGTACATTACTTGACGCGGCTAAGTAAAGCTGCAGCTTCTTCATCATTGGTATCCGTCGAGCTACGCTAAAGAATCTGCTCTAGTCCTTGGACTTGGGCTTCAATCCTCCGGCAGGCACCCTTCCTCTAACAGCAAAGCTTTGGAACTCACAACCCTTCTCTGACAGCTCCTGACGAACTCTGGCATCGAGCGTGTCGAGTTGTTCGGGCGAGAACCCCTGAAGCTCTGGCAGGGCTGAGCCTGACGTTAGCCTAAGCAAAGAAAACGGGCGTGCGATTGGGAACTTACTCCGGGCCATAGCCACGATCATAGGACCAGCGCCAGCAGCGCCATTGATGCTAGCTTCTTTGAGCTCAGGCTTCGCCTTAGCACCAACCTTACATGCCAAGACATCGACCTGAACGTTCTCGAGACCGGCCGCTTCCATCCAGTCCTTCAAATTGGGACCAAAGTTCCCGCCCATCTTCTTGATGATCCAAATCTGCTCCAGCAGATGGAAGAACTCGCGAGCGACTGTGCCTTCGCCCAACAGACTCTGGTCACAGTCAAGCTCGACAAGCTCAACCCAACCCCCCGGCTTAGCCAACGCGCAGAGATTGGCAACAGCCTGCTCGAGAGCGAAGTTGCCGCAAAAGCCCAGCACCTGGCGCTGGTGGACAACATCAAATGATTCTTGCCACTCGACAGGCCAGGCCTCGGTGATAGACTGTTTATAGAACTCGATGCCATCGGGTCGAGGATTGGGGAAAAGTGCTTCAACTAGGTCAGTGCCAATGAAGGTTTGCTGTTCAGCGGCAGGTCCCGCTTGCTTCCGAAGGTCCTGCAGCCAGATGCCTAATCCGATGGTCAGCCATAACATGCACAGCTGCATGTGGAAAAACTCATACCATCTGCCGTTGCGGAGTCCAAGACCCTGAGACCGGGCTTCTTCCAATCGATTGGAATGAAGGACAGCTTTCCACCGGCAGCATCTGTGTAGACGAGGTGGTTATCAGTCAAGCGGGAGATTTCTTCTTCCAGGCCACGTTTTTTAGCATCTGCCATGAGTTCGTCCATGCCAGTGCCGTTGGCGATGCCGGCATCAAGCTCGGCTTGCGGAGGGGCAGCGGTGTTTGTAGTAGCCATGTTGGTCGACGAAGCTTAGAATGAACTTGGGTTTTCAAAACGAGTTGTAAAGAGGAAGTGAGAATGTGGTGCGCAGCTGGAAGATGAACTCACAATCTTTTCTGTGATGTATTGAGGCCATTACTTAATTATGTTTATTTCAATCATGTTTATTTCGTCATGTCCCGTTGTCTAATCTTGGCGATTACAAAAGCTCTAAGAGTTTGTATCTCAGACAGGCTAATCCTCAAGTCCCTATTCCATTTCTTGCCAAGTCTAGTAAACATCAGGCAGCAGGCAACGTTCCGGTAAGCCACGGAGGATTCGCCAAGGTGAGACATTAGGGCGTAACGATGTCGAAGTGGAATTATGCTGGTGTGAACTTACGGATAGTTGCATAAATGACGTTGAGGGACTTTGGAGATACCCCTTGACACTTCGCCCCGTCAATGGGATAGCTCTCATCAACCCCCGCCACCACCCCTCTCTTATTCCCCGGTCCCGAAGGATCTAACTAGTCACTTGCAGGCCATCCTTTGCCGCTCGGCATGAAGGATGGAATATCCCAGTCTGTAGATAGTACGACACACCCCTCCCAATATTGGTCTTCCTCATGGGGGCTTCGTAAGGAGTGGTGCGGGAACTTTTGATGACAGTCACCCTTTGTATCCATGGGTATCATCTCTCATGCAATCATCTGACGATATTTTCTCAGACATTGCTCCCTAGTCTTCCGTGCGAATTAGGTCATGGAACGTCTATGACTGAATCAAGGCGAATATTACGCCGAAAGCTTAAGCTCGGCGACCGCTGGCCCGACTCATTGCCTTGTAGAATCTATTCTTGATTCCTTGGTTTAGCGGCCGTATTCTTTCATGAATCTGAGTTGCGGTGGCATTATCCTTGAGTTTCCAGTCATTCTGAGCATTTTTGGTGCCCCAAAACACTTTTTGCACTCTGCGGTGAACAGCTTCCATGATGGACTTCACTTGGGATTCACTGAGCACATCCAAAGCTTTGGTGTTACTTCTACTGCACTATTCTATCATTGTGGTGGCCTACCGCTTATTTTTTTCACCGCTGAGAAACATCCCCGGCCCGAAACTTGCCGCAATAACATTTTTGTACGAATTCTACTACGATGCCATCTGTCGTGGGCGCTTTCTGTGGAAAATCCAGGACTTGCATGCCAAGTATGGTCCCATAGTCAGGATCAACCCTCGCGAAGTTCATATCAACGACATCATATTTTACGACGAGATCTACGCCAGTGGACCACATCGACCTCGGAATAAGATTCGGTTCATGGCCACCCAGGATGAGAGCATGTTTGACACCTATAGCGCCGAAAGACATCGGATTCGCAGATCAGCGCTGTCTGGATCATTCTCTAAGCAGTCAATCCGTGCTCTGGAACCTCTCATCGTTCAGACTATCAATCAATTGGCTGGTCGAATGAGTGGCCTTGCTGATTCTGGGGCGGTCATGGACTTCAAAGAGCTCTATAGTGGCCTCACCATGGACGTCATCGGCCAGTACTGTTTCGGCGAGAGCATGGACAACCTCAAACAAGACAAGTTCGGCAAAGAGTTTCTTGACTTTTTCCATGAGATGCCGCAAGGTCACCCCATTGGCCGCATGTTTCCTTGGCTCTTCGACTTGATCCAGAAAATTCCCATCAGTGTCCTAGCAAAGATCGATCCTAAGCTTCAGCCTCTTGCAGACTATGACAAGAAGATCTCTGGGCAGATCACGGAGGTCCTTGCCAAAGACAAGCCCGATATGATACGAACAGTTTTCCATGAGATGAGAGACAGCAAACAACTGCCGGAGTCTGACAAGACTCTCGAGCGCTTTAAAGCCGAAGCGGCGATCTTTTTAGGTGCCGGCACGGAAACCACTGCCGCGGCCTTGACGGTCTTGAGCTATTATCTCACGGAGAACCCGGCTATGCTTAAGGCCCTCCGAGCTGAGCTCAAGTCTGTGAGCCCACCTTTCACTGTGGCAAAATTGGAGCCTCTCCCATATCTGGTCAGTTGTCATGTTCCATAATAGCGAGTATTTAAGTCGCTTCTTCGCTAACATGAAAGCCCAGACTGGTGTCATACAAGAGGGCATAAGACTGTCTTATGGAGTACCGGGTCGTCTTCCGCGGTATGCTCCTACCGAAGACCTAATGTACTCTGGCTACAGGCTACCGCGAGGTGTAAGTACAACACAGTCCAAACTTACTCGGTCTTATACTTACCAATCTTCGTAGACCGTTATGAGCTCTTCCTCATACCTTCTTCATACGAACAAAGCGCACTGGAACAACGCAGACCAATTCAACCCCCAACGTTGGATCGATGATAAAACGAGGCTCATGCGCAATTTCGTGCCTTTTGCGCGAGGCAGCCGGCAATGTATTGGTGTGAACCTTGCCTATGCCGAGCTGTATCTCACTGTTGCCACGGTATTCTCTAGGTTTGACTTCGAACTTTATCAGACTACACGGCGTGACGTTGAGCTTGCGCATGATTTCTTTGTCGGAATGCCTCCGCTAGATTCGGAAGGGATAAGGGCTCGCGTCTTCGAGCAATTGTAATTGAACGGAAGGAAACACTCGGAAGTTCGCTTACAAGATACCGTAGTAATTCAAAGTCCGTGATAAAGTTTTTCGGTATCCCTAACCATCCAGTTACAGAGTTGTCAACGCATTGCTATACTACAAATGCAATAGCTAATTCCCTATAAAAAGGATGGAAAAGCCCTGCAGATTAACTGAACGCATACCGATAATGTGTTGATCACAT